AAGCACCTAGCGCAGCAGTACCAATGCGCGGGTCGGGCGGGAAACACCGGTAACAATCACCCTCCTCACTAATAGTCACAGCATACATGGCAGCAAGGATAGCATCAAAGTCAAGATCAAAGATAGCTACACCAGCCCTAGATAGCTCTCCCCAGCGGGGAATCTCATTAGCCTCGGGGAACAGCTGACGCCAAGCGTCCGTCACGCGGCCAAAGCAGCGCTGGGTGGGGTGGGCACCCCCACACTGCTCACCCGCGCGGTCGCCGGAACGAAGGACGTAGGCGCACGGACCAGTACCCCCACCCCTTTGACGCTGCGTGTACCACTCACGGAGCTGCTGGGGCGGGAGGATGTCCCGCGAACGCTGCTGCTGTTGCTGCTGCTGCTGGCGCTGACCACTACCAAAGCCGCTCCGCTGCGGGGCACCACCCCGACCAGCTCCACCCCCTCCGCCACCGCCGCCTCCACCTCCGCCACCACCACCGCCTCCACTCCCACCGCTGCCGCCGCCACCGCCGCCTCCTCCGCCGCTGCCACCACCACCGCCGCCTCCGCTACTACTCCCACCGCCGCCCCCACTCCCTCCGCCGCCTCCACCGCCACCTCCACCGCCCCCTCCAGCTCCACCCGCGCCCTTGCCCCCCTTGCCCTTGCCAGGGCGGCGTCTCCCGCTAGGGGCAGACGCCGCGCCGACCGACTCAAGACCAAGCAGGTCGGCAGCAGCAGCAGAGGCAACACAGGGCAGTAGGGGGGAAGGAGAACACCCCTCAAAGATGGGGTTGCAAGGGTCACCACGAGAGGCTCCGACAGCGACGATGCTCTTCTCCGCCGCCAGGAGGGCCTTCTCGAGGAGGTCGACAGTGAGAGTGGTGGGACAGACTGAGAGGAAGTTGTCCCTGACTACGCGAAGGGAGTCAGGGAGGCGTGTGACTATGTAGTAGAGAGTGATGTACATGGGGGGGGGGTTCTTGGCGCAGAACTCAGCAGGAAGGGCGGCGCGGTAGCGAGTGTCACTAGTGCGGAGGTGCGTAATGAGGTCAGCGACAGTGGGAAAGGCAGTGAGATCAGGAAAGAGGTACGGTAGCATGAGACGGCTCAGTGCAGCAGTGGCAGGGGAAGAGTAGCGCGCAACTACAGCGTCGTACAAGGTCTGAGCACTCTTGTACTGACTAAAGTGCGCGCGCTCAGTGGTGGGCAAGTGGCGACGCACAGCAAGACGTGCAGCAGCATCGCGGGTGGCCCACTGAGAGCGAACAGTGGGGTCAGCATCAGCAGCAGGGGCAGGAGAGGCGCCAGAGCTGAGGTCAAAGAGGGAAAGGCCGTCCGCCCTATCGCACTGTAAGAACAGCTGCAGGTCGTCGACCCAGATCTCAAAGTCAATGGCTCGACCCTCAGCGTCAAAAGCGAGGACACTAGGGGTAGCCATGACGACGATAGTGGAGCAGTGCAAGCAGTAGGGGAAGGGCACGCAGTGACAGCGGTACGGTGCTCACCGGGCAGGGCAGGTCGGGCGGCTCGGCAGGAGGGCGGCTTGGCGACTCGGCGGCTCGGCTGCTGGGCGGCTCGGCTCCCGGGCGGCTCGGCGGCAGGGCGGCTCGGTTGCAGGGCGGCTCGGGGGCGGGGCGGCTCGGCTGCCGGGCGGCTCGGGTGCAGGGCGGCTCGGGGGCGGGGCGGCTCGGTTGCACTGCGGCTCGGTGGTCCGGCGGTGCGGCGGCTGCTGCTGGGCGACTCGGCTGCTCCGGTACCGGGCGGCGTGGCGGTCGGCTGCGTGGGCGGCGGGGCCGCGTAGGTGAGGGCGGCGAGGCCGCGTAGGTGAAGGCGGCGGGGCCGCTCAGGTGAAGGCGGCGGGGCCGCGTAGGAGAGGGCGGTGAGGCCGCACAGCTCAGGGCGGCGATGCCGCGATAGGAGGGCGGCGGGGCCGCAAGAGCAGAGCGACGGGGCCGCGATGTAAGGGCGGCGGGGCCGCGACCGCAGGGCGACGGGGCCGCGATCAAAGGGCGGCGGGGCCGCGATGTAAGGGCGGCGGGGCCGCGACGTAAGGGCGGCGGGGCCGCGAGAGCAGGGGCGGCGGAGCCGCGATGTAAGGGCGGCGGGGCCGCGACGTAAGGGTGGCGGGGCAGCGACAGCAGGGCGACGGGGCCGCGAGGTAAGGGCGGTGGGGCCGCGAGAGCAGGGGCGGCGGGGCCGCGATCAAAGGGCGGCGGGGCCGCGAGAGCAGGGGCGGCGGGGCCGCGATGTAAGGGCGGCGGGGCCGCGAGGTAAGGGCGACGGGGCCGCGATCAAGGGGCGGCGGGGCCGCGATCGTAGGGTCGGCCGCTAGGGCAGCTCGGTAAGAGAATGGCCCGAGGCGCGACTCGGGATGAGTGCGCTTCGGGCAGGAAAAAAAAGAATCGAGTGGTGGGCCCTAGGCGCAGTTCCCACAGGGGAACCTGCTCGATACCATGAGAAGAATAGAACGAGAATGAATGAACTATGAATGAAGTGAGTACATATAGGAAACCCTAATTGGGTTGTACCCCCTATGGGATACCCCACTATAGCCTACACAACAGCATAAGCTATATAACGTTCTGACATTGTTACCACTGTCGCTGGCTTTGCCTCTTCCCACTGCCTTGACTACGTCGCTCCCTTGGTGAGTGGCCCTGCTCGTTCTCCGTCCTCTGGGGGTGCTCCTGTCTTTCCCCTGGAGGTCCTAGAGGACAGGCAGTTTGAGCTTGGTTTCCTTGAGGCTGCTGTTCCTCATCTCTGCGCCATGCTGCTTACCCCTGAGGGGGATCCAGACGCTCTTAACATCCGGATCTCTCGCAATCACGCTGAGGCGGTCTCGGGACCTTGGGCTTTGTACTAGATAGCAGCTGAGGAGGCAGAGATGGCATCTTATAGGTCCACAGGCACTTACGTCGACGCAGTCCCACCACCTGGGACGAACGTCGTCAGTGGCCGATGGCTCTACAAGGTGAAGCGGCCGCCTGGATCACCACCACTGTTCAAGGCGCGTTATGTGGCGAGAGGCTTCAGTCAGCGATAGGGGGTGGACTTCTTCCAGACCTTTGCGCCCACCCCGAAGATGAGTACTCTTCGGGTGCTGCTGCATATTGCATCCCAGCGCGACTACGAGTTGCACTCCTTGGACTTTTCCACCGCGTTCGTTCAGGGGAGCCTGCACGAGCAGATCTGGCTGCGTCGCCTGCCTGGCTTCACTGGCTCTTTCCCACCTGGGACCCAGTGGCAGCTGCGTCGACCAGTCTACGGCCTGCGTCAGGCTCCACGTGAGTGGCACGACACACTTCGCTCGACCCTTCCAGCGCTTGACTTCTTTCCGTCGCCTGCCGGCCCGTCACTGTTCGTCCGCCGTGGCTCGACCCCATTCTTTGTCCTGGTCTACGTTGACGACCTAGTGTTCGCCACTCCCGACCGACGCGCGCTGGTCTCTGTGAAGGAGGAACAGCAGAGGAGACACACTTGCACTGACCTTGGTGAGCTGCAGCACTACCTTGGCCTGCAGATCACCAGGGACTGGGCAGCTCGCACCATTACGCTGACGCAGTCGCATATGGTCGAGCAGATCCTCACGCGGTTTCGCTTCCCGTTCTCCAAGGTACAGCTCACCCCTCTTGCTGTGGATCATGGGCTCACGGCTCCACCTTCGGACGAGTCATTTGAGTCCAGTGGTCCATATCCTGAGCTGGTGGGTTGTCTCATGTACCTGATGACCTGTACTCGCCCAGACCTAGCTTACCATCTTAGCGTCCTTGCGCGCTTTGTTGCGCCTGGGAGACACCGACCGTCCCACTGGTCCGCTGCTAAGAGGGTGGCGAAGTATGTGGCGAGTACATCAGGCATGGGACTTGTCCTTGGAGGGAAGCAGCCAGTTACACTCACAAGTTACTCGGACTCGTCGTGGGCCGACGATGCGGAGACGCGTCGGTCTACACAGGGGTACTCCTTTAGCCTCGGGACAGGTGCTATCTCGTGGCGGTCGACTCGGGCTTCGTCCGTTGCCAGTTCCAGCTGTGAGGCAGAGGTGTACGCTGCGGCCATGGCCGCTCAAGAGCTTCGCTGGCTGTCTTTCCTTCTCACCGACCTTGGTGAGCGGCCTCGCTCTCCCCCAGTCTTGTTCGCCGACAACAGGTCTGCTGTCCTGTTATGTGAGGAGCCCCGACTGGTTGGGAAGGCGAAGCACATCCAGCTTCGTTACTTCCTTCTGCGTGAGTTGCAGCAGCGTGGCCAGGCGCTCGTTCGACGTGTTGTCTCTGAGGCCAACACGGCAGATATCTTCACCAAGGCGTTGCCGCCATGTGACCACCAGCGCTTCTGCACCCAGCTTGGCCTTGTGCCTGCCCGTCCACACTTGCTTACGTAGAGATGCCTTGTCCTGCATGTCTTGTACTCTTGCATCTCTTTATATTTGCTATATACATGCATGTGGACTGGCCTTGTGGCCCCTAGTTTGCTCTCGGAGTGTGTGGTGCCTTTGAGCTCCACCCTGAGATTTGTCTTGTTCATGTGGACTGGTCTTGTGACCGTTGCTTGCTCTTGTTGTTTCTACAGGACTACCGACACCTAGATTATGGGGGTGTGTCAAATTATAATTCTATAGTTTGTGTAGTTCTAGTCTAGGTGTTCTCCCTTATGTTATTTTCTACTTGCACTAGGGCTAGGTTTTGCATATATCTTGTTTGTACTTTCTGTTTAAATCAATTTTACATTGTGACACCCCCGATTTTCTGTGGCCGTTTGTGGTCCGATACGATGCGCATGAGCTCAACCTCTGGCCCCGTGTCTCCTTGCCGGAGACCTCGCCCACCCTGCGGTGGACGGGGAAGGTTGGCGATGCGTCAGTGTTCCGGTCGGGGGTTCTCGTGCCTTTGTCTGCGATACATCCGCGGACAAGCTGTCCGCCCGCGCTATTCCCTGCATCTTCCTTGGCTTTGTCCCTGACGCGCCTGGCTGGCAGTTTTACCACCCCACCTCGCGTCGAGTCCTGCCCTCTCAGGATGTCACGTTCGATGAGTCGGTTCCCTTTTATCGTCTCTTCCCCTACCGCACTGCACCGCTACCCCCCCTCGAAGCTCTTCCTTGCACCAGGTCCTCCTCCGGTTGACCCCCTCCCCCCTCAAGGTCCTGCTCCCTCAGGTGTGTCTCAGGTAGATGCTCTCGAGCTTGTCGAGGTAGCGGTTGACTCTGATGCTGCTACTGGGGGTGGTGCTGCTGGGGGTGCTGAGCCTGAGCGTGCGGAGCCTGGGGGTTCTGAGCCTGAGCGTGTGGAGCCTGGGGGTGCTGAGCCTGACCGTGTGAAGTGTGGGGGTGTTGAGCCTAAAATTGCTGAGTCTGAGGGTGCGGAGCCTGTGGGTGCTGAGCCTGGGGGTGCTAAGTGTGAGGGTGCGGAGCCTGGGGGTGCTGAGCCTGGGGGTGCTGTGCCTGGAAGTGCTGAGCCTGATGTTGCTGAGACTGGGGGTGTTGAGTCTACTGGAGTTCCTGCAGGTGCCTCGTCCCGGCGGGAGCCTCTCTCTCCACCGCAGCTACGCGAGTGGTTAGCTCGCCGCTGGAGACTCCAGAGAGGTGCTGCTGGAGCTGGAGCTGCTGGAGATCCTGCTGGTGCTAGAGTTGCTGGAGGTACTGCTGGAGCTGGAGCGGCTGGAGGAGCTGGAGCTCCTGTAGCTGCAGGTGCTGCTGGAGCTGGAGCTGCTGGAGGTACTGCTGGTGCTAGACCTGCTGGAGGTGCTAGAGCCGCTGGTCCCGGAGGTGCTCATACTGGAGGTACTGGAGCTGCTGGGGCTGGTGGTGCTGCTGGAGTTGGAGCGGGAGGCGCTAGTGTTGTTGCTGCTGGAGGTGCTCCTGGAGCTGGAACTACTGGAGGTGCTAGAGCTGGTGGTGTTGCGGGAGTAGGAGCTGGAGACCCCGGAGCTGGGAGAACTGGTGCTGTCTCTGCTGGTTCTGGAGGCGCTACGCGGCCGCGGCCGTACTTTTTTCCACTTCTTCAGCAGGTTCTTGACCTCCCGCCTTCTACTGGTCCCACTCTTCCCTTACTGTGTCCCCAGCCTGCCCAGCCGCAGTCGCAGCTAGAGCCAGCCTCTCCACTCCCTTGTCCTTCTCCTTACTCTAGGCTGACTAGAGGTCTTACGAAGCGTCGTGAGCCTGAGTCTCGTCCTGCGTTGCCTGAGTCTCATCCTTCGTCACCTGTTCGCGCTGTTCGTACTGGTAGTCATGTCCCGCGTCCGCGTCCTCCTCCTGTCCCGAGCATACACTAGATGGCACTTTGTCCTTCCACTGCTCCACTGCGCGTCCCTCTGCCGTCTCCTCTCTTGCTGACGGTCCGGACCCCGAGTCTGACTCATTTCGTGCTGCTAGTCCTACTGTCACGCGTCTACTAGCCAGCGTTGTCTCTGACCCGTTGTTTGAGTCCACTGCTGCGTCTCCCCTAGTTGCTGAGCTTGTTGACTTTGCTGCCGCCTGTCGTCTAGACTACGCCGCTAGTCTTGTTGCTGAGTCCGAGTCTAAGTTTGTCTGTCCTCCGTCTGTCGGAGGTGAGTGTGCTCTTAGCACGGACGTCCTTGAGGACAGGCAGGAGGACTTTGAGTGCTTTGCTGCTGCTTTACCTCATCTCGTATCCATGTTGATTGCCCCTGAGGGAGACCAGGATGCACCAGACATCCCGACCCCGCGCTCTTATGCAGAGGCGATAGAGGGTCCCTACTCCTCTCAGTGGCAGACAGCCATGGACGTAGAGATGGCTTCCTGGAAGTTCACACGCACCTATGTCGATCAGGTTCCCTCGCCTGGGGCGAACATTGTCAGTGGCATGTGGATCTTCAGGGTGAAGCGGCCGCCGGGTTCTCCGCCTGTCTTCAAGGCGCGTTACGTTGCACAAGGCTTCGGTCAGCGAGAGGGAGTTGACTTCTTCCAGACCTTCTCCCCCACCCCGAAGATGACCACTCTTTGGGTTCTGCTGCACATAGCTGCTCAGCGTGACTACGAGCTGCACTCTCTTGACTTCAGCACTGCTTTCCTACAGGGCAGCCTGCACGAGGAGATCTGGCTGCGCCGCCCACCTGGCTTCATTGGGTCGTTTACTCCTGGTACCCAGTGGAGCCTCCGACGGCCAGTCTATGGTCTCCGCCAGGCCCTGTGAGTAGCACGACACACTGAGGACGACCCTTACGGCTCTTGGCTTTGCTCCTTCCACTGCTGACCCGTCGTGTTAGAATCTAGATGTGAACGAGAATGATGAAACTAGAAAGCAGGGTGATACAAGTAGGCAACCCTAACAATGTTGTACCCCCTAAGGCTAAACCCACTATAGCCTACACAAAATAAACATATATAATGTTTGACACACCCCCATAGGCTAAGTGGGAGACAACCAGATGGTCACAAGACTAGTCAAAGCAAAGCAAAGCAAGCTCAGGGTGGATCTCAAGGAAACCACACAAATTCTGAGCACAAGCAAGTGGTCACAAGACTAGTTCACATGCAGTTTGATAATATAACAAGAGGTACAGTGATCACAACATAGCAAGTGTAAGCATGCAGGTATATATATATATATAGAGATCATAGTAAAAAGAGAGTCAAGAAGTAAGAAAGTGAGGCACAGTAGGCACAAGGCCTAGAACAGTACAGAAACGTTGATGATCACAAGGCTGAAGCGCCTTGGTGAACACATCAGCAGTCTTGGCCCGAGTGGCCACGTAGGCAAGACGAAGCTGACCTCGCTGCTGCAGCTCTCGAGCAAGGAAGTAGCGTAGAGCGATATGCTTCGTTCTGTGCTCCAGTCTGTGCTCCTGACACAAGGCAATGGTAGCCTTGTTGTCGACGTACAGCACTGGAGGAGAACGAGGCGGCTCTCCCAGGTCAGTCAGCAGGTAGGTGAGCCAGCGTAACTCCTGTGCAGCCATGGCTGTGGCGTAGATCTCAGCCTCACAACTGGAGCTGAGAACTGAAGACGAGCGAGTAGAACACCAAGAAACTGAACCAGAGCCAAGGCTGAAGGTGTAACCCTGAGACGACCGCTGAGTAGCCTGGTCGTCAACCCAAGAAGCGTCTGAGTGCCCAGTGAGGACAACTCGAGTCCGTCCTCCAAGCACGAGCCCCATGCTCGACGTACTGCACAAGTAGCGAAACACCCTCTTAGCGGCATCCATGTGCTCCTTCCGGTGACGGCCAGGAGCGACATAGCTTGCTAGGATGCTAAGAGGGTATGCAAGGTCAGGTCGAGTGCAGGTCATCAGGTACATGAGGCAGCCCACAAGCTCTGGATACGGGCCACTAGGCTCTACGGACTCATCGAAAGGCAGAGCTGAGAGCGAGTGACCGGTAGGCAGAGGAGTGGCCTGAGGCGAGGAGTACGTGAAGCGGAAGCGCTGAAGGACCTGCTGCACCATGTGTGACGGAGTCAAGGTGGTGGTGCGCTGTGCTCTGTCCCGGGTGATCCGCAAGCCAAGATAGCTTGTCACTTCACCCAGGTCTGTGCACGTGTGTCTCTTCTGCAGCTCCGACTTCACGTGGGCAAGTTCCTCAGTGTCAGTAGTAGCAAAGACCAAGTCGTCTACGTAAACGAGAACGCAGAACAGCGGCAGAGTGGTGTCGGTGCGTAGAAACAGCGACGGGTGAGCAGTAGAAGGAGCAAACCCAAGAGCCGCAAGAGTAGTCCTCAGTGTGTTGTGCCATTCACGGGGTGCCTGGCGGAGACCGTAGACTGGCCGCCGGAGGCTCCACTGGGTACCAGGAGGGAACGACCCAGTGAAGCCAGGTGGGCGGCGCAGCCAGATCTCCTCGTGCAGGCTGCCCTGTAGGAAAGCAGTGCTAAAGTGAAGAGAGTGGAGCCCGTAGTCACGCTGAGCAGCTACGTGCAGCAGAACCCGAAGAGGGGTCGGGTCATCTTCGGGGTCGGGGAGAAGGTCTGGAAGAAGTCAACTCCCTCTCGCTGACTGAAGCCTCGTGCAACGTAACGCGCCTTGAAGACAGGCGGAGAACCCGGTGGCTGCTTCACCCTGAAAATCCACATGCCACTGACGATGTTCGTCCCAAGTGGGGGAACCTTGTCGACGTAGGTGCCTATGGAATTCCAGGAGGCCATCTCTGCGTCCATGGCTGTCTGCCACTGAGAGGAGTAGGGACCCTCCATCGCCTTTGCGTAAGAGCTTGGGGTCGGGATGTCTGGTGCATCTGGGTCTCCCTCAGGGGCAATCAGCATGGACACGAGATGAGGCAAAGCAGCGGCAAAGCACTCAAACTCCTCCTGCATGTCCTCAAGGACGTCTGTGCCAAGAGCACACTCACCCCCAAAGGACGGAGGATAGATAGACTCAGACTCAGCAACAAGGCTAGCGGCGTAGTCGAGACGACAGGCGGCAGCAAAGTCAACTAACTCAGCGACTAGAGCAGACGCAGTAGATGACTCAAAGGTAAGGTCAGTGAAAACAGTGGCGAGGAGACGCGTGACAGTAGGACTGGCAGCACGAAGGGAGTCAGACTACGGGTCAGCAAGAGCAGGAAGAGAGGACGCTAGAGGAGACGGCCGAGGGACACGCTGTGGAGCAGTGCAAGGACGCAGAGTCATGTAGTGAGTGCCACGGACAGGAGGACAACGCTCGCGCGGAACACGACGACGAGCACGGACAGGCGACACTGAACGAGACTCAGGCGACGCAGGACGAGACTCAGGCGACGCAGGACGAGACTTAGGCGCACAACGCTCCGTAAGACCTCTAGTCGGTCCAGCGTAAGGAGAGGCAGGCTGTAACTGTGATTGCGACTGGACCGGTGGTGGACTCACTAGGGGAAGAGTAGGACCGGTAGAGGGCGGGAGGTCAAGAACCTTGTGAAGGAGCGGAACGTAGTACGGCCGCGGCCGCTCAGCACCTCCTTAACCCGCAGAGACAGCACCAGCACCCTCAGCCCCAGGGTCTCCAGCGACAACTCCCGCAGCACCACCAGTAACCCCAGCAGCTCCAGTACCTCCAACTCCAACCCCCGCAGCAGCTCCAGTCCCAGCAGCTCCAGTACCTCCAGTACGAGCACCTTCAGAACCAGCGGCTCCAGCAGCTCCAGCACCAGCAGGACCTCTAGTAGCTCCAGCACCAGTAGCACCTCCAGCAGCACCAGCAGCACCTCCAGTAGCTCCAGCACCAGCAGCACCTCCAGCAGCACCTGCACCAGCAGCACCTCCAGCAGAATAAGCTGCACCTCCAGTACCAGAAGCGCCTCCAGTAGCTCCAGCACCAGCAGCACCTCCAGCAGCTCCAGCACCAGCAGTACCACCAGCAACACCACCACCAGCAGCTCCAGCTCCAGGGCCCAAAGCACCAGTAGCACCACTCCGAAGACTGCAGCGCCGAGCATACCACTCTCGGGGCCGCTGGGGAGAGGGCGGCTCCCGCCTAGGCGGGGAACCACGAGCACCAGCTCCAGCAGCACCCCTAGCCCCAGAAGCGCCCCTCCTGAGGCTGCAGTACCGCGAGTACCACTCACGCAGCTGCTGTGAAGAGGGAGCGCCTCCAGGCGCCGCACGGTCAGTCGCAGCACCCCCAGGCTCAGTACCCTCAGATGTAGCACTCTCAGGCTCAGCACCCCCGGACTCAACAACCTCAGGCTCAGCACCCCCAGGCTCCGCACCCCCAGGCTCCGTACCCGCAGGCTCAGCACCCCCAGGCTCCACACGCTCAGGCTCAGCACCCCCAGGCTCCTCACCCCCAGGCTCAGCACCCCTAGCAGGACGAGAGTCAACAGCTACCTCGACAGGCTCAACCGGGTCTACCTGGGACACACCTGAGGGAGCGGCACCCTGAGGGGGGAGGGGGTCTACCACAGCAGCACCTGGTGCGAGGAAGAGAGGCAGGGGGGGGGAGCGGGGCAGTGCGGTAGGGGAAGAGGCGGTAGTAGGGGACCGACTCGTTGAAGGTGACATCCTGAGAGGGCAGGACACGGCGTGGGGTGGCGTGGTAAAACTGCCACCCAGACGCGTCCGGGACAAAGCCAAGGAAGACACAAGGAATAGCGCGGGAGGAGAGCTTGTTCGCGGACGTATCGCGGACAAAAGCACGAGATCCCCAGACCCGGAAACGCGACGCATCGCCAACCTTCCCCGTCCACAGCAGTGTGGGCGAGGTCTCCGGCAAGGAGACACGGGGCCAGAGGTTGAGCTGATGCGCGGCGTACCGGACCGCAAACGGCCACAGAAAATGGGGGGCAGCCGCATGGATCAATGAGGTACGAGCGACCTCCATGACCAAGCCAATGCGGCGCTCAGCAACCCCATTATGTTGTGGAGAGGCCGGAAGCGTGAACGACTGCTCAATGCCCTCCCCCTCACAGAAGGCCCTCAAGAGGTCGGAAGAAAACTCCCCACCTCTGTCAAAGTGCAGACGCAGGACAGGAAAGTCCGAGTGGAACCTCTCGCTGAGCTGGAGACGAGCAGCGCGGATCCAAGGGATCAAAACATCAGGGACTTCACCCTTGGTGCGCAAGGGGAAGACCGTGGTGTAACGCGAGTAGTCGTCAGCAACTATCAAGAAGTACCTCTCGTGACCCTGTCCACGGACGCGGGCTGGGCCCCACACGTCCATGTGGAGCGTCTGCAGGGGAGCAGTCGTCGGGGGAAACGAGGAGGAGTGAGGAGCGGCGCGCTGCCGCCCCTCGACACAGGGAAGACAGGAAGGAGCAGGCGAGGGTGGGAGGGGAGGGAGAACTCTGGGAAGACCAGAGACAAGGTACCGGGAGTGCATGCCACGAAGGCGCTGCACTGACGGGTGACCAAGGCGGTGGTGCCAGAGGACGGTCTCGTGCGCCAGGGAGCAACACGAGCAGGGGGCCGACAGCTGACCTGACGCAGACGCAGACGCAGCTACCTGAGGGGACGCAGTGGTCAGTGTGTCCAGGTCCGACCCCGGCTGCCGAGTGAAGGTAGCCAGGTGGCGACCCGTCCGAGCACACGTGCAGTGTGTCACGCGCTCGTAGGCAGGGGTGAACTGGTGGACACCCTCGTCCTAGTGCGCACTACCGCCACCAAGTTCGTAGACAACGAGGGGAGGTAGAGACCTGACAGTGTGCCCGATGGGACCGCAGGACAAGGGAGGACAGTGGAGGAGGTCGCAATGACCGGACCCCCAGAGGGGTCAGCGAGGGAGACTGCGACCGGCCGAGCAAGCTGCTCAAGGGCAGTGCGGTCACGAAAGAAACAGCGGGAAGCACCTGAGTCCAGTGTGAAGGTGTGCAGTGCCTCAGTAGACGTAGTACCTGAAGGCGTAGACTCACAAGCACTTGAAGCAGCAGACTCACGAGCGCCTAGAGCAGCAGTCTCACCAGCACCTGGGGCAACAGACACACTAGCACCTAGAGCGGCAGCCTCACCAGTACCTAGAGCAGCAGACTGGATACCGGGGTCAGGCGGCACACAGGTGACAGGCACTCTCAGCACTAGTAGACAATGCATACATGGCAGTGAGGATAGCATCATAGTCAAGAGCATAGATATCTACCCTCAGCCTAAGCAGCTTCAGCCAGGAGGGGAGCTCAGCGGCGTCGCCAAACTCCGTACGCCAAGTGTCGCTCAGACGAGCGAAGCCGTGGGACTTTGTGTGACCACGTGTCGCGCAAGGCTGACCAGTCCGGGCACCCGTGCTAACAACGTACGGGGAGGGAGCAGTACTCAGCGACCCTCTACTCTGAGCGTACCACTCACGAAGCTGCTGGGGCGAAAGAGGCTCGTGCGGACAACGCTGCTGCTGCACCGGGCCACGACAAGAAGCTCCCGAACTACCTACTCCAGGACGACTCTCGCTACTGCCACCCCGACAACCCCAACTGGCGTACCACTCACGAAGCTGCTAGGGCGTGAGGGACACACGTGGACGACCGTGGGGCTGCATCTGGCCACGCCAGGAGCAGCAGTAGCAGCAGTAGCGGCAGTAACAGCAGTAGCAGCAAGAGCAATAAAAGTAGGAGCAGTAGTAGTAGCAGGAGCAGTACGGGCAGGGCACTGCTCACCAGTGGTGGGAAGGGCAGGCGCAAGACGGCGGCGACAGCGGGGCCGCTACAGCTGTAGGGCGGGGCCGGGCCGCGGCAGGGAGCTCCACGGCAGCTGCTGCAGGGCGGGGCCGGGCCGCGACGGCAGCTGCTCCAGGGGCCAGGGGCGGCTCCCGTAGTGGCGGCTGCTCCAAGTGGCCAGGGGCGGCTGCTCCAGGGACCAGGGGCGGCTGTAGGTGGAGCACAGAACGAAGCACATTGCTTTCCGCTACTTCCTTGCTCGAGAGCTGCAGCAGCGTGGTCAGCTTCGTCTTGCGTACGTGGCCCCTCGGGCCAACACTGCTGATGTCTTCACCAAGGCACTTCAGCCTTGTGATCATCAGCATTTCTGTACTGTTCTAGGCCTTGTGCCCACTGGGCCTCACTTGCTTTCTTCTTGATTCTACTTGTACTGTGATCTCTATACATATATCTGCACGCTTACTCTTGCTAGGTTGTGATCATTGTAGTGTTTGTTCGCCTATATATCACTCTGCATGTGAACTGGCCTTGTGGCTATCTGCTTGTGCTCAGAATGCGTGGTGACTTCGTGATCCACCCTGAGCTTGCTTTGCTTCTCTTGTCGCGGTTTTACGAAGCCGGGAGGGCCACATAATAACCGGGACAGCGCAAAGAGTTTATCGGCGGGTGGAGCAGCAGGAATGCAGCAGAGGCAGAATCAGAAGGGAGGAGGAACGGGGGAGGAACAGGGATGGAGGGCGGAGGGAAGGAGGAACAGTGTACATAAGTGTATTATAGCGCCCAAGAATGTTTGCGTGAGAACGTGGGGATACGGGTTGGGGTGTATGCTTCTTTTGTGTGACATTTCCTGTACAGGGCGAGACGCTGTTGACGCGTACAAGCACAGCTCAATCGACAGGTGGCAGGAGCTGCAGTGCAACATGCAAGCCAAGCGTGCAGCTGGCGGAGGGCTCGCGCTGGAGCCCATGCAGATCCAGTCATGCGCTGGGCTCGCCCGTGTGATGTATGTGTGCTAGAAGCGCTAGGCTAGGGCGGAACAGTCATGTTGTATATAGCTGTGCTGAAACCCTAGTGTTGGCTGCTTCGTTGTATGTTTCCCATTCGCTTCAATGTAATCCTCTTATACCAGCCACGGGTGATCATGAGCACGCTAGGGAACCAGCTTGTCAGCCATTAGCAGAGAGAAGGTATCACGGTGGAGTTCTATCACACGGCACACGGTATACAGCAGACAAGGAGTTGGTAGTGCCCCAGCAGTAGTAGCAAGGAAGATCGGCAGGTGAGTAGTCCAAAAAGGGGGGGGTAACCAGAGGGCTGCAGGCATGAACGGCAGGAGTCAAGAGAGAGGGGCCACACAGAGAATTTCCGACACTCTTGACTGGTCTTGTGACCCCTTGTTCTCCCCCACTTTGCCTATTGGTGTGTGTCAAACTTATATGCTATAGTCCGTGTAGGCTGTAGTGGGGTAGTTCATATGGGGTACAACACTTTAAGGTTTCCTACTTGTACTCCTCATGCTGCTCAATGCATTTATTCCTCATTCTTCAACGGTGCTCAAGGTCGGCTAGCATGTCGGGGTCGAGCTCCGGAAACTCCTCATCTTCCTCGGCGTCGTCGTACAGCAGGTCGTCATCATCATCGTCCATGTCGTACACCGTGCTGAAGGCAGCGGGGACGAAGAAGTCAGGCGGCCTCCGAAGTCGGCCTGAACGTCGTGGTCCCGGCTGAACCTCCTCGGCATCCCCTCCATCGTCGCCGTCGTCGCTGCCCTTGGCGTCCTGCTGCTCCTCATCCGGCGTCCCAGCCGACTTCTCCCCTGTGGTCGGCGTCCCAGCCGACGACCCGGTCGCCGATTGCTCCTTGGTCGGCGTCGCTGCTGCTTGCTCCCCTGTCAGCTGCTGTTCCTCGTCCTGCTCCTCCCCTGTCGACGTTGACTGCAATCCCACGTCGACCTGCCGCTCGTCACGTCGGCCACCAGTGATGCACTTGGCCGAAGGCGACGTCCCACTACTCCCCTCATCGCCGGAGGCCAACACCGAGGTCAGCCCACGCAGGTCGGCCATGAGGGGAGGGGCAGGGATCGGAGGAGGAGGGGTAGGGGGGCGGGCGTCCTCGACATCCTCAGTAGCAAGCTCGCCGACCTCGGCAAGTAGCGGCAGCGTCGCTGACGAAGTGTCAGAGGGCGGGGTGGACGACGGGCGGCCGGACACCGGCCCATGCTCCGTTTTCCACTCGGCCAGCGACATCTCCTCGTAGAACACCACGTCCGACGTGGTGACCACCCGGTCGGTGTCGACGTCGAGGAGCTCCCAGCCCTTGCTCGCCGCCGACACGCCAAGGTGCAGGCCCCACCTGGCCTTCGGCTTTAGCTTCCCACCACGCTGCTGCTCAGGGACAAGGAACTGCGCCATGCAACCCCACACCCGCGCCAGCGACAAGTCGGGCTTCTTCCCGGTCAGCAGCTGGTACGGCGTCGTCCCCGGCGGCAGCGCCGACCTCTCAAGGCAGTTGCGGACCCAGACGGCCTGCCGGAGAGCGAGGTGCCACCAGTGGTGCTGCACACCCATGTGCAGCAGCATTGTCCGCACCGACTCCACCACTGTCCTCATCTCCCGCTCCGCCATGCCGTTCTGCTGCGGGGTGTAAGGGCAGGTAAGGTCGTGGACGATCCCCTTTCCGCCCACGAAGTCGGTGAAATTCTTCCCGAGGAACTCCCCTCCTCGGTCTGAGCGCAGCATCAGCACCGACTTCTTCACCTGTCTCTCCACCAACACCAGCCACTTCTGGAACTCCAGCAGCACATCCGACTTCTTGGCGACCGTCCTTACCCACACGTAGCGGGTCTTGCGGTCCTTCAGCAGCAAGAAGTACAAACTGCCGTCCTTCGCAGCCACGCGGAACGGCCCGCACAGGTCGATGTGCACGACGGCCAGCACAGCATCGACGTCGGAGCCTTGGTCGGAGAAGGTGTGCCGCGCCAGTTTCCCGCCGACGCACGAGACACACGGGGATTCGGCGTCCGTCGCCGACTTGAGGTCCAGCCCAATGGCGACCTCGTTCTTTGCCGAGCTCCGTATGGTGTCCATGCCGACATGTGCAAGCCACGCATGCATCCGGTCCGGCGTCGACTTCGTCTTCGAGACGATCGCCCGCACAGCCACAACCTCCGTCGTGGTCGACGCTGACGTCGTCGTGCAGGGACGCAGGTCGGTGCAGAGAACTCGCCCGGAGTACGTCGCCCGCCCGAGCACCTCCCCTGCTGCCGAGACGAGCAGCATGCCATCTCCGTCCTCTTGCAGCTTTACGCTGTGCTCCTTCAGTTGGCCGGCCGACAGCAGGTTGGCTCGCACACCCGGGACGTACAGCACGTCGGGGATGAGCACCTCCTTCCCGGCCTCTCCTTGCAGGGCGACGGTGCCACGGCCATGGACGTCCTGCAGCGCCCCATTGAAGCCGCGCACATGCCTGATGGCGCCGCTCGGCTGCAGGTCAACGAAGGCTTCCTTCGTCCCCATCAGGTGGTGGGAGCAACCGCTGTCGAGCAGGACCACCGCCGGGTTCGCCTGCACAGCTGCCGCCACCGCCTGGAAGTCCTCTCCGGCCTCCGGCGCCAGAGAGATGGTCGGCTCCACGACGCCGACCAGCGAACACGACGCCGTCTTGTCGTCTCGCCCCTTGCCTCCTACAGCGGAGTCGGCGTCGTTCGCCGAAGTCGATGTCGTCGACTGCTTCTCCTTGCACGGCTGGTTTCCTCCACGACGAGGACGACGGCTGCCAGACCTCCCACGGCCTCCCTTAGCGTCATCGTCGTCGGAGTCACTGCGGTTGGGACACTCGAAGGAGAGGTGGTCGGGGTCGCCGCACAGCCAGCACTTCCGACGTCGACCTCCTCCTCCCCGACCGGTGTCCTTGGTCGACTTCTTCTTGTCGACCTCCTTGGCCGGTTTCTAGCCACCGCTCCCGCCGCCACCAGACTGTCCGCGCTGTCCTGGTCGGCCTCCTTGCTTCGCCGAGGCGACGAAGTTGGCCTGCGCCAAGAGTTCCTGTGACCGCTCAGCCTCCTGGATCGCCTCGTCCTGCAGGATGTACGAGGTCAGGTTGTCCTCGTTGAGCGTCGCCCTCGTACTCGGCGCCATAGACACCCGCTTCAGGAGGTTATAGCTGCTAGAAAGTCCCTGCATGACATGGGTGATGTACGACGCCGTGGAGTACTGCGCGCCGGCCATCCTGATGGTGGCGAGAATTCGCCGTGCCCGGTTGCAGTAGTCGGTCGCACTCTCCTCGTCGCCCATACGCATGTGTGTCAGCTGTCCCTCCAGCTGGGCGATGAACAGGTCGTCGGTGACCTGGTACGTCGACTCAATGAAGTGCCACGCCCAGTGGCCGGCGTTGATGTACTCCTGGCACCACTTCAAGGCGATCTGCACGCCCGGCGAGCAGCACCGCAAGATGACCGTGAAGGTCAACAGCTGCACGGCGCGAAACTCCGCACGCAAGTCGGGGTGGTGCTCCACCGGCGTCGCCACGGTCCCTCGGGCGAAGCCGATCAGCCCGGCCATCTCCAACTGGGGCTCAATAGCTTCCTTCCAGGTGAGAATGTCGGGTCGACCGACCAGCGGAGGGGTGACCGAGATCCTGTCCGGCGTAAACTTGAAGTAGTCGTAGCTCGGCGCAATCCCACCCGCTGTCACTTGGGTCGCCGACATCGGCGACAGCCCACTCCGTCAACCTCTGACGTCAACCTGGGAAGAGCCTGCAGCCGCCGACGACTGCATCCCTCGCGCCTGAACGCCGCCGACTTCACCGGCGTGTATCACACCTCACTGCCTCGACGTGTCTCCCGCACTACTGCCGACTTGACCACCACCGGCGTGGACGCCCACGTCGACGCCGCCTTCGTTGTTCACCGAACGAGGAGAGGCAGGTCGAGAAGGGGGGTGCTCCGCCGCCCATACGGAGCGGAGTCCGGCTTCGACGACTGCCCAGTGTATCGCCCCATACTCCTGGGCCTCATGGCGTCTCCTCGCATCCTCCAGCCGTCCCTCCAGGGTGTCCATCACCTCGGTGTCGCCTACGCGCACACTAGTGTCTGCACGGCTGCCGGTCTACGAACACGATCGGTATGTGCAAAGTCGGCTAGACCGAACTATGTCGCGGTATCGTCCACGCTCATCGCACCATGCGAAGATAACTGCTGCAACGGGAGCTAGGCTACGGGCTAGGCACGTGTGCTCGTGTGATCTCTGCGTTCGTTCACTTGATCGTTTCCTTGTGTTCACGCTGCTTGCTAGTTCACGGGGAGAATTGGCAAGAGTTTCACTAGGAAAACATGACAACAATGAATGCAACAACATTGACAGCATTGAATACATCAGAGCTAGCTAGGCTGCTGGTCGACCTCCAGCGCAGCACGGTTGACCGCACTCTAGCGCAGCAGCGCTCGCACCGCTCCAGCGTAGCAGAGTAGCGGTTCGCCAACGTTGCAAGTCCACGGTGTGCCAGCGCTGCACCAAGTCGGCTGCACAGCGTTGCACCCGCAGGACAACGGTGCACTTGCTTCGCAGGTGCGCGCAGCTGGTTGGCGCTCCACACCTTGTCACGAGCACAGCGCAGACGCCTGACAGACTCCACGCCAGCGACTGCGCCCACCAGCCACGTCGACCTTGGGATACCACCCCTGAGGTCGGCCTCACATACTCCACCCTGGCGACACTCGCGTACGTCGCCCGGGTATCCCGATCGACCGGGCAACCACGCCTGGTCGACCCACGCAGTCCGTAGCCAGCCACGCATGCCCGGCGTCCCCTAGTCCGGCGTCAGGGCGCCCAGGACGCCTTCCAAACCCCCAGGTCGGCGTCTAGATGCCCAGGACGCCGAACAAACCTCCAGAGCGGCGTCCCTCCTCCCAGGACGCCGACCAGACACCCAGGTCGGTGTCTGGGCCCCCCCGGGACGCCCAGGTCGGCGTCAGGACCCCCCCCTTGGACGCCGTGCAGACGCCTAGGTCGGCGTCTGGCCTTCCAGAACGCCGTGCAGGCGCCCACGACGTCGACCAGGCGCCCGGGTAGTCGTGTCGACGCCCAGCTCGGCGTCCAGCTTCCCAGGACGCCGTCCAGGCGTCCGGGACGCCAACTAGGCGTCCAGGGCGGCGTCCTCCTGCTCGGCGCCCTCCAGGCAGGTGCCCTCCAGCTTGGCGCCCTTGCAGTGGCCCCCGTGCCCACTGCTGCAGGTCGGCTGCAACCCCCGCACATCCGACCACAAGGTTGGCTCCGCCCAAGCGAGGACGGGGCCTCACAACGCTCCCGTTGACAGGGGGTTCAGCTCGTGGTGGCGCAGGCTATGGGAGTGGACACCAGCTGCCACGCCTCCCAGAAGCACCCACCCCTCAGCAGTTTTGTGAGTGGGTTGTGTAGTGTGGTTCTCCTGGGAGCTCTGTTTGCTACTCGTATGTCAGGTGCACAGGGCCCAAGAAGGGTCAGACTTGCGGGAGGCCTGGGCACATTGAGTATCGCCGTTTTGGTCGTCTCAAGGATGCCTAGGTGACCAAGTACGGTGATGAGTGGGAGGTCTCGAACTGGCTGCAGCTGATAGCGAACAATGTGGATGTGTTGCTCTTGGCTTTGTTCAATCAACAAGGCTATCTATGTTTTGTATGTTGATGATATTTGTGCGAAAGGGTGCGTGTCATTTGTGTGTGCCTTGAGTTGCTAGTGAAGGTGCTGCTGCTCTATGTGCTAGTGAGTCTGTTGCCGCTCTAGGTGCTTGTGCGTCTGCTGCCATAGGTGCTAGTGAGTCTGCTACCTCAGCTGAGGCCATGCACACTTTCACACTTGACTCTAGCGCGTCTCGTTGCTTCTTTCGTGATTGCACCACAATCACACCACTCGCTGCACCTGTCCTAGTCTTGCTGGCTGACTCCTCTGGCACCCGGTCGTCGCACGAGCCTCCACTGTCCTCCCATGTCTGGCAGTCCCTCTGGTTCTCTTTTAGGTCTCCACCTCCCCTCGTTCTCGACGAACTTGGTGAGTAACGCAGTCCTCCAGGATTTATGGGTTGATACCTTTACCCTTGGAGGGCAGCGTGTGGCAATTTGTATGTGCTCCCGGACTGGCCGTCACCTGGCTACGTTTACTCGGTAGCCTGGGTCCAATATGTACAACCTGACCACTGCGTCTGCACAGGTGGTTGCGTCAAGTCTGGTGGCTGCGTCGAGTCAGGTGTCTGCGTCCAGTCAGTTAGCTGCGTCGTGCTCGTGTCGGGTACTCTCCCACCAGACTCTCCTTTGGCACCACCGACTCAGACACCCCTTTTTGCCACGTCTACACAGCATGCACTCCCGTCTCCTTGTCTCTGGCCTTCCCAGGTCTCTGCCCCCTCTCCCGCACTCGCCTGCCCCGCCGTGCCTTCCCTACATTGAGGGGCGGCAGCACGTCGCTCCTCACTCCTCGTTTCCTCCAACCACTACTCCTCTGTAGACTCTACACATGGACGTGTGGGGCCCGTCACGCGTCTGTGGGATGGACTAGGAGCGCTACTTCCTGCTGGTTGTTGAGGATTACACGCGCCACATCACTGTCTTCCCCTTGCGGAGCAAGGTGGACGTCCGCGGTGTTTTGATCCCCTGGATCCGCGCTACTCGTCGCTAGCTACGCGAGCGGTTTTGGCGGGACCTTCCAGTCCTGCGTCTGCAATCTGACAGGGGCGGTGAGTTCTCTTCCGGCCTCCTTGCAAAGTTCTGTTGAGACGAGGGCATCATCCAGTCTTTCACGGTTGCGGCCTCTCCGTAGCAGAATGGGATTGCTGAGCGTCGCATTGGCTTGATCATGCGGCTACTCCCCATTTTTTGTGGCCGTTTGCGGTCTGATATGCTGCGCATTAGCTCAACCTCTGGCCTCGTGTCTCTTTGCCAAAGACCTCGCCCACACTACGTTGGACGGGAGAGGTTGGCGATGCATCGATGTTTCGGGTCTGGGGCGTGCTCTCCCTTGTCCGCGATACCACCGCGGGCAAGTTCTCGCCTCACACTCTCCACCCACACGCGTCCCACCCAGTCCCCCCGCCGCCCCTCTTCCTGGTTCCAGTTCCCCCCCAGGTAGACCCCCTTCCCCCACAGGGTCCTGCTCCCTCTGGTGTGTCTCAAGTAGACCCACCCCTCTTGGTTGAGCCTTTGGTGGTCCCCTCTAACACCTCTGGCTCAGCTGAGGGGGATGACCCCGCCGCTGACGACACGGCGGCCACTCGTCGCTCTCCACGCTTGGAGACCCCTCCTGGTTTTCCGCCTCGACCGTCTTCGCTGCCTCAGCAGCTTGTAGCTGCGGACACTGGTGCTGCTAAGGGTGGTGACACTGGGGGTGAGGACTCAGGGGGTGCTGGTCCTGGGGGTGCTGAGACTGGGGGTGAGGGTTTTGGGGGTGCTGACTTTGGGGGTGCTGCGCGTCCTAGTAGTGGTGAGGCCATGGGTGCTCCTGCTGCAGGTCCTAGCGTTGGACAGCAGCAGCCGCCTAGTCGACTCGAGACGCCCTCACCACAACAGCTTCGTGAGTGGGTCATTCGGCGAGGCCGCTCTGGTGTTGGAGCTTGGAGTTTTACATGTCATAGAGGTGCAGGTACTAGAGGCACTGCTGGAGGTGCTGGAGCTGCTTGTGCTGGAGGTGCTGAAGCTGCTGGTGCTGAAGGTGCTGCTGGTGCTGGAGGTGCTGCTGGTGCTAGAGGCGCTAGAGATGGAGCTGCTGGAGCTGGAGGTACTGGAGGTGCTGGAGCTGCTAGCACTAGAGGTGATAGAGCTGCTGGTACTAAAGGTGCTCGTGCTAGAAGTGCTAGGGCTGCTACAGCTGGATGTGATGGAGGTGCTGCTGATGCTAGAGGCGCTAGAGCTGGAGGTGCTGGATGTACTGGAGGTACTAGAGGTGTTGGAGCTGCTGATGGTATGGGTACTGTGCCGCGCCGACCGCTTTTCTTCATGCAGCCGCAGTCGTCCCTGCCACCTCCTGACTCTGCCTTTTGCCAGGTTCTTATTCTCCCGTCTTCCACTGGCCTCACTCCACCTCTCCTGTGTCCACCGTCTGCCCCGTCTCAGACACAGTTGCCACCTGGCTCCCCACTGCGTGCTCTTTCTCCCTAAACTCAGCTGTCAAACTCCCTTACTGAGCGTCGTGAGGTTGAGTCTCGTGCCTCCACACCTGTTCGTGCTTATCGTGTCGCCCGTCCTCGTCCTCCTGATGTCCCAGGCACTCATGTTATGGCACATCGTCCTTCCTCTGTTCCACAGCGTGTTGCCCTGCCGTCTCCTCCGGCATCCTCTCTTTTAGGTGTCGATCTTTCTCCTGCCACTAGTCCTACTGTCAATCGTCTCCTCGCCACTGTCGTCACTAACCCTTCTTTTGAGTCTACTGCTGCGTGTGCCCTAGTCACTGAGCTAGTCGACTTAGCTGCTAGGCATCGTCTCGACTACGTTAGGAGTCTTGTTATTGAGTCTGAGTTTGTCTATCCTCTGTCCGTTGGGGGTGAGCCTGCCCTTAGCAGTGTCGTCCTTGAGGACAGGTAGTTTGAGCTTGAGTGTCTTGCGACCACTTTACCTCGTTTTGCATCCATACTGCTTTGCCCTGAGGGAGACCCAGATGCACTTAACATCCCTACCCCGCACAGCCATGGACGCAGAGATGGCTTCTTGGATGTCCACAGGCACCTACGTCGACGAGGTATCTCC